CAAAATGGTTCACGAAGCTAGACATCATCGCAGCTTTCAACAAGATCAGAATAGCCGAAGGAGACGAGTGGAAGACAGCCTTTCGAACCCGGTATGGACTCTATGAGTTCCTAGTGACGCCTTTCGGACTAGCCGGAGCGCCAAGCACTTTCCAACGCTTCGTCAACTACACGTTACGCGAGTTTTTAGACTGGTTTGTATCCGTGTACGTCGACGACATTCTGATCTACACGGACGGTTCCTTGGCGGAACACAAGAAACAAGTCCGCATGGTCTTGGAGCGCCTGAGGACTGCAGGTCTACAAGTCGATATCACCAAGTGCGAGTTCTACACCCAACGAGTCAAGTACTTAGGTTTCATTGTCGAAGCTGGGAAGGGAATCTCTATGGACCCAGAGAAAGTCGCGGCGATCTTGAATTGGGAAGCTCCAAAGACTCTCCGAGGCCTACGCGGATTCCTTGGTTTCGCGAACTTCTACCGAGGGTTTATCAAAGACTACTCTGAGCTAGCGATAGCTTTGAATAACCTAACGAAGAAGTCTAAGCAAGAGCTCCCTTTTAAGATGGACCAAGAAGCTTTACGGGGTTTCGAGCTTTTGAAACAAGCGTTTGCCAAAGCACCACTTTTAAAGATGTGGGAAGACGGAAAGGAAACAATTCTAGACTGCGATTGCTCAGGCTGGGCGTTAGGAGCAGCAGTTTACCAATATGACGACCAAGGGATGCTTCGACCCGTCGGCTACTCGTCACGGAAGCTAAACTCTGCCGAGTGTAACTACCCGATTCACGACAAGGAACTGTTGGCCATTATCACGGGCTTAGAAGAGCACCAAGACTGGCTAACCAGTTGTCCTTTGAAAGTTAGGACCGATCATCGAAACCTCCAGTACTTCATGCAGGAGAGGAAGCTATCTGAACGACAAGCAAGGTGGATGACATTCCTTTCCCGCTTTTCATTTAATATCGAATACCGACCAGGCCGCCTGAATACTGTTGCCGACGCACTCTCCCGGAAGGATGAAGATGTTCCACAAGACAGTAGCGACGAACGTCTCCAAGGGAGAGTCGCGCAGTTAATTCCGAGCGACCTAATCGTACGAGCAGCGCCAGTGCAACTAGAAGCTGTGCCCCAACCCGCACTATCGGAATCGTTATAAGAGCTATGGAATGCCTCAGTTGAGGGAGACAAAGTTTACCAAGCGTTCAAGTTAGCATCAGAAAAGGGTGAACGATATGCCCCCGAAGAGTATCGAGGCCTGAAGAAGTCTATGTCTGATCTACGGGTACAAAACGGGTTTCTACTCTATCGCGGGAGATATTGGGTACCAGAGAGTGAACCGTTACGAACAAGCATCCTTTAGGAAAGTCACGACTCGCGCTTAACAGGGTACCCCGGGATAGAAGGCATGATTAGCATCCTGTCAAGGAAGTACTTCTGGCCTAAGTTTCACGAGGACGTTCGTCGTTTTATAAGGAACTATCAGTCCTGCGGAAGGAACACAGTATAGAGAGATCGAAAACAAGGCCTACTCCGGCCCCTGCCGGTTCCGTTAAGAATCTGGAGCGAAATCTCTATAGACTTTGTCGTTGACCTTCCAAAAACGCGCTCAGGAAACCGACACCTCCTTACGATTGTTGACAGGTTAGGCAAAGGCGCGATCTTTATCCCCTGTAAAGATATGGAAGGAGAGACAGTGGCAGCTATGATGATTAAGCACTACATTCCATACCACTTGCTACCAACAGCCATTACATCAGACAGAGGAGATGACTTCGTCAAAGGAGTCTGGAAACAAATCTGCAAGATGTTAGGAATTAAGCAACGATTGTCAACTGCTTTTCACCCAGAAACCGATGGAAGTATAGAAAGGATGAATCAGGTCTTAGAAGAGTACCTCCGACACTTCTGCGATTTCTTCCAAGATGATTAGGACGAGCACCTCCCAACTCTTCAAGCCTCCGTGCTCGCACGAACGGCCTCATCGACAGCAATAAGCCCGTTTTTCTTAAGCCATGGGTATCACCCGAACTTAGGAGACTCTCTCCAGCTGCCAGACCCGAACCCTGACGATGACGCGCTATTAACTAGCAAGGAACAGAAAGGAGCAGAGATAGTCCGGAAACTGAAACAGTGCCACGAGTTCGCATCGACTATAATGGCTCACGCGCAACAACGACAAGAAGATATCGCGAATCGGAGACGGAACCCAGCCCCGAAATACCAAGTAGGAGATAAAGTTTGGCTCGACATCCGCTACTGGAAGAGTGACCGTTCACGAAAGAAAAAGCTTAGCCCGCTCCACCACCGGTTCACGGTTTTAGAAGCCATCGGAGGAAGCGCCTATCGGCTTGACACACCAGGGGAACGTCATAACGTTTTCCACGAGTCGCTTCTCCGCCCTACGTCAGATGATCCCTTCCCGACTCAAGTTTAAGACGATGTTCAACCAGACCCAATACTGGTAGATGGCGAAAAAGAGTAGGAGCTCGAAAAGATCCTGGCGGACCGAGTCGTTCGAGGCCGCGGCCGAGGAGGACCTCTGAAGCGCCAATGCCTGTGCCAATGGACCGGCTACGCAGACCCGACGTGGGAGGATATCGCAATGGTTCAAGATACTGTCGCATTAGATGACTACGAAGCTCAGACGGGCCGAAACATTGCTTCCGAAGCGTTAAGGGCAGGAGATAGACGGCCTCCTTAAAAGGGAGGAGAGACCTTTTGTGACAGTCTTGGGCTTTGCCCAGTCTGTGTGTTGTGGCCTTGCGGCCTAAGGCAGAAGGGATGGGTAGACCGTTTGCCCACAGATGTAAATAGCAGATCGCAGTGAGAGAGATCTTCTCCTTCTCTCTTTAGCAATTCAACAGCGTTACCAGCTTACCAAATCCTTCGTGGTTTGGGCCCTTGACAGGTTGATCGAGTATAGGAGATAGTTCCTGCTGCTTTTCCTGCTGTTTTTCCCGCTGCCACTCCCGCTGTGCCTTCCTAATTACCGCCTTACGCTCCTTCTGACCACGCGCCTCGATATGGCGTTTCGCCTCACCAGCTTACAAAGCACAGGTCTAGCTAAGTCCTATTTTAACCTGGCGGCGACTGTAAGGTCACGAGATGGTTGTGGGCATAGAGTGAGATGGTCACGAGTAATAGACGAGTAGTGGACTGTAAGAGTCTCACTGTCGGGAATCTCCAATCGTGAGGCAAACATTGAATTGTTGCTATAAAGGAGGAATCTATCTAAAGTGTGCGAGGCGTTATGTCCTGATGCTACACAGCAAACGGGCCACAAGGCCACAAGGCATCCAGGTCTGCGGACCTCTGATCCATCACACTACCCCCTCCTTCAAAACACGCGAAGTCCACTGAGCGCTCTATCTAATGATACAATGAGGTCGTCGTCCTAATCATCTTTTTCTTCAATCAATTTGGGCGCAAGCTGTGCCCAGAGCTCGTCATTTGTAAAGGCTGGGTGGATGTCCGGCGCGTCCTTGTGTTTCTCGTGATACGCGATAACGAGGTCCCTCGAGCCCATGACATCCTGCCATGGCTACTACTCTAGTTTCTGATTCCACTTATTCTAGCCCTTGTAATGAGCTTTGTACTATAGAGTACCTTTCTTCCCGGAGGTCTTATCTTTGTTCTTCTTATTAAACCTACAGTTAACGATCCTCGTTGAGACGGTTTGATCGCAGAAGTTACGAGAACCACTTTCATTTATTGCAAAGCTAAAGAAGAAGAGCTATCTACGACGCGTGCGCGATGTCTAAGACTTCGACAGTTGACTTAGTCACGTGACTATCATTCAGGAGACAGGCCACAGGCCTGGAACCATAACACTCGTAACTTCCTAATTCTCCTCCCCTTCTTCGTCTAACTTAGCGGGAGCGGGAGGTATGTTTTGACCGGGGAGAGGTGTCCCGTCGTCGAGGTGCAGGAGCTAAGGGTGAAAAACCGGGTGGACGTTCTTGATAGATGAAGGCAGCTCGAGCTCGTAGGCCATGTCGTGAATGGCGCGGTGTTATGGGCATGGCCCATGGTTGGCATAGGCTGAGAGCCTAAGCCTAATCAAACCTAGCGTAGAAATGGAACCTCATTAAGATTCCTCTGTCACAGCTACCTTGTACTCTTTATATCAATCTAGAATATCTTTGGCTACGCGTATGTTGTGTACATCTAGCTACCGTGCCGTAACATAGATTAAGATCTCTAAATTCCATCATACTTGATAACTCGTGAAGGAAACGCGCTCTCTATTCCCTCATTAACCCCTACCGCCCATACTCCTAGGTTAGAAGTATCTCTCGAAGAGATTACTAAAGGCTTCGTAAGCATTAAACTCGATATGCCTAAGCAAAGTACAGCCGACCTTTTGAGTATGCTCGTTACCGCCCTCACTACTGCGAATAAAGACCGTGATACCTCCTCGAAAGCTATACGATAGCCAGAATAGGATGGTACTAAGGACGGCTATAGCCTATTCAAGTAGACGATCGAGTCTAAGATCGAGTAAGAGAAAGGACGTTTAGTGTTACGGCACGGTAGCTGGATGCACACAACATACGCGTAGCCAAAGATATTCTAGATTAAGATGAAGAGTACAAGGTAGCTGTGACAGAGGAATCTTGATAAGGTTCTATCTCTACGCTAGGTTTGATTAGGCTTAGGCTCTCAGCCTATGCCAACCATGGGCCATGCCCATAACATTACCCCCCTCCTTACTCGGTATATAATACGAGAGAGGGGGCGGTAGCGGGACGATAGAACAAACGAAAGTCATGCAACGCTCCTGCCAACTCGTGATAGCCTCCATAGCGGTCACTACCGCTGCGCGGCTCCTCCGGGGTCCCGTCCGGGCTCCAATGTCCTCGCTAACACCGTCGCCTTTACCGTACTTAGCCTTAAACCGATCTAGGTCTTACACCTCTGTAAATTCAGACCGTGGCTGCCAGTCAGGATCCGCATAGCCTTTCCATTTGATTAGCAACTGTCGTACCTATCCACGGCCGACTCGCTTCTTCTCCGCGCGAAGGATACGCTCGACTTCGTACTCGGCGTCAGTTTCCTCCGTTTAAGGCACTAATGGGGGTGGTTGAGTGTCGTCGGTCTCCTAGGATGGTAGCGTATCGGTTGCGGCGCGGCGGAGTAGGTCAACGTGGAAGCGGCTGTAGATACCACTTGGTAGATCGGCTAACTCGTATACTATACGAGAGATCTGTTTCTCGATGGTGTATTTGGCTTAGGTCCACGATAGCTTCTTCTACTACTGTAGAGTATTAATATTCCGAAAATTTAACCACACCTTGTCACCTCTCTTCAATGTCTTAGCGGCTTGCCGTGATCTGTTTGCGTCGTTTTCTATCCTTTGCTGGGACTAGGCCATTGCGGCCTAGGCGTACTCTTATGCCTCCTCTATTCGCTGTACGAAGGTCTCCGCATCGGCCGCCGGTGTTATGGTCCCAGGCCTGCGGCCTGTTCCCTTGGTTGTGGCTGAAGACGTGGCTGGTGGATTATATCAGAGAAGCAAACAAACATGGTAACACAGCAGTAGGGCATTGGAGAGGAGAGTCGCTATCTCGCGCACAAAGGTGCCGGGAGATTTCTTCTCTCTCTCTCTCTCTTCAGTTTAGATTAATGGAACTTGGTAATCGCAGACCTTGCGCATCCAGACCGTGTCACGAGAAGCCGAAAGGTTGAGGTTAACCGTCGGTGGCCTATGGTTTTCCCTCCTTATCTGGCCGTTTCCTAGAGAGGGGATACGTGTCACGACGGGGTGTTATGGGTTGAAACCCTTGGTTGGCTCAGGCTGAGAGCCTAAGCCTGATTAGGTTAAGGGTAAATCAGAGTCTAACCTCTCCGATGTAAACAAGAAAGCTTCCCTTTCTTGTTCTCTTCTTTAGCTTAATCTAGAATATCTTTGGCTACGTGTATGTTGTGTGCATCCAGCTACCGTGCCGTAACAGTCTCCATCACTTGTACCTCCAGCTCTTCGGCCTCTTTCCATCGGCCTTGTTTCCTGTACGTCGACGCCAGGTTGGCCATGCTGGTCAGCGTGTCTGGATGCTCTGCGCCAAGCACCCTCGAGCTCGTCTC